CATCTGTTCCACCTCACAGACAGCTGTCCTGCCCCAAAAAATCCTCTTGCCTTTCAAAAAATATCACTGAGAAACACCGAATCCAACACCTGTGATTACCTTCCCTGCTCTGTTCTCAGGGAACTGTGTTTTTTCCTACACCAGGGCAGCACAGGGGGCGACTTTGGGTCTCTAGGCGCAGATATGCTACATTTAGACAAAAATGTACACACATATTGCACAGACACACGCAGGATGCTGCTCAACCTCGAGTACTCACGCTTCACAGCGTCACCTGAGTTTCAACCAGTGAGTAGAAAAGCGCCTTACCCTCAGAAGAAGGTGTAAGTTTTATGACAGTCAGGAGTGAAACCATCACAGTTCAAAAATGCTTTTGCAAAACCTGACTGCCACCTCGTCCCTGAAGGAGCTGAACGAGTAAATGGGGCACATCACAACCCAGGGGCAATCTGGAGCGATACGTGTAAATGTTGGGGGAGAGGAGAGGACGGGATAGCACTTGCCTTGACAGTAGTTTTGAGATTTAGACTGCCTATCATCCATGACTACAGAAGAAGAGATAAAAGTAATCCTTGATGTGCATGCAGCCTGCTATCCCACAATCAGAAGTAATAAGATCTGCCACGGAAGCATCTCAAACTCAGTAAAAGCCCCACCTGACATACAAACTGACCGTAAGATCCCCTGCCAGTCTGGAAAAGCATCCTGCAGAGAACTGCAGCACACAGAGCAACTAAGGTGTTCACCCCCCTGATCACAAACGAGCTGACACACGGAGAAATAATAAACTTGCAGCCCTGACAACCAAGAAATGAGGGAATAAACTGATGGCCGAAATACAGTTATAAATGAAGCATTGTAATGTGGTGATAGAATTACACAACCAGACGTGGACTCTTCACAAAATGAGGGGAGAAAATGTATTTGCAACTTAAAAGGCACATGACATACATGTGGAGCTCCATTTCTCATTTAAACTAGATGAGGCATATTAGATTCATGAGCTATTTATTTAGCTTTATGTTTACCATTTACTATCAAACCTGAAATTACCAGAAAGAAATTATCATTTACACCAAATGTAGTTTAAATGCACTAAATAATTAATTTAAAGTCATATTGGCATAATCACTTACACTTAATAGGATTTGTATACTGACTGTGCATCTGAGAATCATTAATGATCTGTTCTGGAAGCCTCATCAGCCAATGAGGCCGCAGACTGTATCTCAATTACTTTGCATTTATAATGAACCTTGTTTGTAATTTAAGAATATTATTCCCTCCTGAGCAGTAATTTAAGACAATATGTGACAGCGTAACTGTAAAACGCCAAATTAATCTTATAAGCAATTATTTCAGAAAATACACATTTGAAGATTTATCACTATTAACATTAACTGCGAGTCCTGATCCCAGCTCTGCTGACGACTCTTTGCTTTGAGCCAATCATTTCCTCTGCATCCCCGTTTCCTCTACATTAAAAAGGAAAATACACCTATGCGCTCCACCGAAGTACTACACAAGCGTTTGTATAAGAATGCGAGGGAAATGTAAAATTATGGGATTTAAAGTAATCCAAATCTACATGCACTGATGGAGTGCTTTAGAAAATAACACCGCTGTCACACACAAGTTTAGTCAGACTGTACTTTAACCTACATTAGCTCTACAATGCAAATCCTACACCAGCACATGTACGCAAAAAGAAACTCAGCAAGCACATAGTTATACATTATTAAGTATTTATGTACCAGTTTCCTTTTCCCAACTTTTGAGAACTGCAAATTTAGCTCAGCCCCTCTCCCCCACCTATATTATTTGTCTATTAGTGGTTTAGGGGTGGGTTTTTTTTTTTTTTAATTCCAAATATAAGGGAAAAAACCTGCATATGTTTTGTGTGAGACTGTGGGCTGTGGTTACGTTTTATGACTACTTAAGGCTACCTACCCTGTTAAGATCCTCTATTTCAGAACTGAAGTTTGTTTCTCCTTCCATCATTTCCTCCTCTTCTAATGTCCGTTCATCATCAAAGTCATGCACCAGCATATCAGCTGATGGATCAAATTCATGGTCATCAGATGTTGCTGAACCTCCTGATAGAAAACATTTTAAAGAATGTTTTTAGTTAGATCATGGCCTCACAGAGTTTTAGTTTTTATTTTGGTGACATTTTAATACTCAAATTATACTGAGAAATTATCTTCAAAATCTCTCAATCACTTATCTTAGGGACAGCCAATCTCATTATTTGGAGGACGGTGAAAGCTGTCCTTTGGGTGGTAAGAGATCATGGAAAAAGAACCAGGAGATACCGTTTAACCAGGCAGTTCTCAAAGTACTATCTCTCTGGACATCGGGCTCCTAGTTAAATGTTTAGGTTTTGAAGACTTGATTCCTAAGTGATCATAAACCTCTCTGAATCAAGAGTTCCACTCGGAGCAGAAATGCTCCTAAAACATAAACTCAGGGCAGTTGGTTCCTGGATACCTTGCAAGCTTTCTTGTTTACCACTCCAGAGACAGTCTATTTCCCAAATTTAAGTTCCAAATTTTAACTTTTCCAAAATGTAAACGTAAAGGAAGCTTCACAGTTATGCAGATTTTATTTATGATCCCAAACCCTTTGTTATTTTCCCCATGCCGTTTTTGCACAGTTCTTTGTAAAGAAGTCTGGTTACATTTTATGACAATGAAAAATAAATGAATGGATGAATGGTTGGGCAGATGCAGCGTTTTAACGTAATTCGGCACTACCTTTACGTAATTCTAACCCTGCCAACATTTTTCCACTTGTCTCTGTGGACAATTTATATTTCATTTTCCAAAGCTTGAAGAGTGTACCCACACTAAGGGTGCAAGAGGGTTGGTTATAAAGGGTTAACTATACTTTGTGGTTTGATGTGTCAAAGCAATTGATTGTTTCTCTGAAGGCAGTAAGAGCTCAAGAGACAAGGGCAGTCCCGCTAGGCTAACTACTGGTAAGCTTTTCCACCAGCAGAATGCCAAAACCCTTGGAAATAAGTAACACTAAGTACAGTGGTATCAAAGTGAACAAAACCAACCCCAGATATTCCTGATCTACACCCAGGCTGACGACTAGAGAGCCAGTAGCTCTGGGACACTGGGATATCAGAAAATAATCAGCTTTAAAAACAGAAGTCACGAAACCCCTCATTTTTAGTAATCCAATGAGGTAGAGAGATACTGCTTTTCTTGCTGCTTTTGTTTGTGATGCTGTTATGCATCAATCCGTTCAGCAATAGTATATCTATTAATTGAGAGCACACAATGCCGTAATCTTGACTCCAACACCACCAGGAGCCATGCCGAGAGGGCTGATAACCGCTGGGTAAAGCGGTCTCTTCCATGCCCCCAGCCCTCGTTCGCTTCGTGCCCCCTCGTTCAGCATTCCCGAACACGTGTTGGTGCAGCTTTTGCAAAGACAAGAAACAGATTTCCCCAGTGTATTTTACCGTTTAGAAACTTGTGCTGGTACAGACTGGAAGAAATGAGCGACCACTCAAACCAGTACCCCCAACCACCTACTCATCAGGTAACATCCTTAGATTGCTAACTGGAAGAGACCAGCAACAGTAATTTTTCAATTATTCTCTTTCCTCACAAGTTTAGGAAATAGTAAAAAATATTTACCTGGGCTTGAAGACTCAACAGAAGGCTAAAAAAGAAAAAAACAGGAAATTATTTTTCTATATTGAAGCTGTACAAAGTCAATTCAGCAATTCATTGGATACAAAGCAAGTCACTGTACAGAATGGATTTACAAATAAAGCACCACAAACACGCTGAAGTGATTTAAGATAAATAGTATTAAGTTCCTCCTTGATGGATCAGCACTGCTGCATGATTTGAGCAAGAATAACTGGAAGAACTGCCCATTTTATGATGCAACAACTGAGTTGATGAAGGTATAAAATAAAGCAGAACAATTCATTCTGCAAAGAGCATGAGAGTTCCACCACCCGTTCAGCGTGGCACAAATCAGTGCTAGTGCCAGATGGGCCAACGCTACTTTCCATCTCTATCCGATCGTTCCCAATTCTTCCTTCATGCTGACACAAAACTCAAAACTAAAAGCAGCGACAGGTTAGTAGTCTTCAACAGATCCCGCTCTAACTCGCTGTAGCAAATCCCCTTTTCCACAACCGAGGTATCTGTCAGATTACATGGACAGTGGAAGCGCAGTTTAAGAGAAACCATTCCTCCTACTCGAAACTGCATGCTGTGCACGACACAAGCCCCCTGTTCCATTTAAACTAAGGTACGCACTGACAAGGTAATCACAGACCCCAACGAGAACTCCTCATAGAACAAAAGGGAAAGGCAATTTAATCTTAATCTCTAACACAGCTGCGAGGAAAAAAACCCACACAAATTATTTTGCCAGCCAGACTTTCTTCCCAAGTACATTTATAACACAAATTAGCATGATCACAGGCTACAAAACAAGTATGGGTTTTGAAATACAGAAAAAAAGAGACTTCCACAACAATTTTCACGTAACAGAGCCATCCCTTGGCCTACCGTATTGGGTAACCCCACATTTATTATCAGAACAAATGTCTTCTTTCATAAAACTCTGCTCTCCCTTGCTTATAACTTTGCCCATCTTTAACCTCCTGGGCAGAAATTTGCATGTCAGACATGCCAACTTCATTTGTTTTGAAAATTCAAGCAAATGTTCCGATTATTTTCAGGAACAGACTTAACAAAGTGTGTTTTTCAAAGAGCTGCGGTGCCCCTTCTCTGTCACCTTCTGTAAACAAATATTATTTGGTACCATGGATATTCTTCTATTACTGCTTGCATTTAGCCAAGAAACAATCTGCAAAACTTCAATTTGCACATTCACAATAGATACTTCCGTGCCTGCACAGTACTTTATCTAATTGTGCTCCTACTAGAACTGCAAAATCTGCACACCCAGAATTACATGCAAAATTAACCCAAGCTATTATGTTAGAAACTGGTAAATTCATACTCAAGTAAAGACTTGTTGATTATTCCAAGATTCTCTAAAGCATTTTCCTTCTCTCTGACTTCATCTCATAAGACCAAGCAGCCACTCACACGAGCCACTTCCACCCAAAGCACCCGGCCTAGCTATGTAGCAAAGAAAAACCTAAAATTAAAAAAAATCCTGTGTAACTATAAAGCTCTTGGAGATGAGCAGCTCTGCGAAGTGAGAAGAAACACACTGTCTTGGGAATCGATGGCCAAAGTTCACTTGCATGCTGGCCTACATTTTACTAGAGTCTACAATATACAAATGAAACCGCAAAATATTTGCCTGTCTCAAGCAGAAAGCAGCATACAGAGGTAAAACCTCATCTTGGGTATTTGCCTGAAGGGTGGGCAGAAGCCACAACAGTCAAGAAGTTTTGCTCTCCACACACTGCACAGCCTAAAGAAAATACAGAATACGTACACTAGCTTCAGGTGAAGACACTACAGTCTGGTTTTCCCCATACTTACTAACACCCAAATATATTTTCAGTTTACGTGCAGCATCGTTGCTGACTTGCAAGAAATAGCTTTTCAGGCAGTATTCGCTTGAAAAGGCAGTACTGCACCAAAAAGCCAAGAGAAATCAGATCTGCCCAACCAGGCTGACTGAAACTCCCGTGAAGCGCGTAAGCACTAAACACGCTTTTGCAAAACGTTGCACAATGCCACAGGAAGTTTCGCCCATGACTACAGTTTAGAAACCTTCCTTTGTAAAGATTATCTTAAACGCCAGTCTGCAGGATTATTAGCATATACTGAGCTAAAGTTGAACATCAAAATCAGCCAGCAATGACTGATCTCTACTTGGTATGTTCTGCTTGTTTGATAAACCTGCAAAACCGGGTAATTCATAACAGGTAACATGCAGGTATTAGTGCAAATTAACGAAGGCTTAGCATATTCACTGCTGCAATCACAGGTGGGAAACCAAACAAATTCACACTGTTCTGGCAGAATACTGCACATTCAGTGCAAGGAAGAAATAAGACAAACATCACTAAGAAGTATCTTAGAAAGTTTTAAAAAAGACTTAAGTCTTCCGTAACAATTCTCTCCTAGCAAAGAGAAATGAGTGTTGCAAATGCAGATTATAGCCACCTCTAGCAGCCAGAGGAATTCACCACCTGAACAGGGCACAGCAGAAACGCAACTGGAACCAAACTGCTGTATTAACTCCAACAACCCAGCCAAAGCAACACGGCGCTGTAAGAAACTCACTGTGGGCTGTGCAGACGTCAAGGTGCGGCTTCCCCTGCCTACGTACTCTGCAGCCTCTGCCAGGGTATGAAGTTGCTTGCAAACACATCCAGCCCCAACCCAGACCAAGCTGTGAAGACTCCATCCTCAGGCAAGGTGCTCTGGCATCCCAGGGTCCCCTTTTAACAAAGCATCCACCCCAGACTTATGCTTTGTAGAAGGGCAGCATCGGTGTAATTTGCATCCAAATAACGACTCATCATCACGACATAGACTGCTCTCACCAAAACCAAGTGAAATCAATACCTGAAGGGGCTACAAGAAAGCTGGGATGTGTGTGTGTGTGTGTACTTTTTACAAGGGCCTGTAGTGACAGGACAAGGGGGAACGGGTTTAAATTGAAAGTGGAAGCTTGAGATGGGACATCGGGAAGGAATTCTTCCTGGAGAGGGTGGGGAGGCACTGGGACAGGTTGCCCAGAGAAGCTGTGGATGCCCCATCCCTGGAAGTGTCCAAGGCCAGGCTGGATGAGGCTTGGAGCAACCTGGTCTAGTGGAAGGTGTCCCTGTCCATGGCAGGGGGGTTGGAAATGGATGATCTTTAAGGTCCCTTCCAACCCAAACCATCCTGTGATTCTATGAATAAAGACAGCATGAGTTCAAGCAAACAGAATCTAGGGTGGTCTAATGGCAGCAGCTCTGTCATCATGGAAAAAATCCCACTTCAACCCCTAAAGCACAGCTTTGCTTTCCACCAGCATTAAGGATTTGCCATTTACATCAGGCTCAAGTCCCACACTATGTGATGCACTCTTATTAACCACCTCCCCCTTCCCATTCCATCCTTTGATACAATACACAGGTATCATTCCCTTCATCTATGGACCATCTTTGTAAGGTGTCCATAAAATGTGCCCTGAGTTCATTTAGTCCATTTGGGTTCCATCAGTTACGGTGGTCACTTGGGGCAGGAGAGGGGTGTGTTGTGGGATCACTGAGTGCCAAAGCCAGCCCAGATTGGGTCATTGCTGCGCTTCTTGCAAGGCTTGACCTCTGTGGGTTCAGGTGATTTCTGCTACAGTAATTCCCGTAACACATGACTCACATCCGGGGATTGAGGATACAGGAATTGAGGTCCATCATGCTATTTTATTGGCTAATCTCACCCAGAATCAAATCCCCTTAAGTCAGTATAGAGGTAAAGTGGGTTCAGGTCTGCTACAGTAATTCCCGTAACACATGACTCACATCCGGGGATTGAGGATACAGGAATTGAGGTCCATCATGCTATTTTATTGGCTAATCTCACCCAGAATCAAATCCCCTTAAGTCAGTATAGAGGTAAAGTACTGCCCACTTTTCTGGTTCAGCAATGTCCAAAGCCAGCTGGATGGCCTGTACCTCTGCAAACTGACTGGATTCGCCTTGTCCTTCAGCAGTCTCTGCAGCTCGTCATACAGGACTCCAGAGAGCAGCCTTCAGCTCCGATGTTTTCCGACAGTACCACAGGACTCATCAGTAAACACAGCACACTGCTTTTCATTTTCTGGTAATTTACCGTACAGTGAGGCCTCTTCAGCACGTCACCTCCTCCTCTGGTAACATTCCAAAATCCTTGCCTTCTGGCCAGTCCATGACTACTTCCAAGATTCCGGGGTGATGGGGGTTTCCTATTCCAGCATGTTGTGTCATCAGTGTGACCCACTTCCTCCAGGCAGCATCAGCTGCAGAGGAGGTATACAAAACCAGAGCGGCAACAGGCCTGGACACCCAGCTCTAGCTGACCCCACTCTGAGCAGTGGGTTAGTCCTCATTATCTCCAAATGTCCCTTCCAATTCCAACAATTCTGTAACTAAATGCTCCAATACACACTGCAGAGGAGCCTACCATAATGAAGCGTCTTCCTGTTGAGAGCAGATACAAAACCATACTGGGGCATAAAAACATCTTATGAAAGTCAAACGCTTTAAGAAACCAAGCTCAGTGTTCTGAAACAGCACGGAGACAGCATGACAGCTCACAAGGAAGCAAACAGCCTTACCTGCAGGCTGAAGTAACTGCTAATACAACCACCGCTCTCACACCTTCAAAAGCCTTGCTAAAATACTGCGCTGCGACCCCCAGGGCTTCTAAGCAACTCCCAAAATACATACAATCCTGGTCTATGGAAGAGAGGGGAAAAAAAACAACCAACCAACCAACCCAACCCAAAAAAATACCCCCAAAACAGATAATCTGCAAAAACCCAACCACCTCCAGAAACCCAAGTCCATTCCAGGCTACCCCACAGAATGGATACATTCCCTGGGAGGTTCTAGTTCACCCTTTGCCTCTGACTTCACAGGCAGCTTGTGGGTCTCTACTTCCTTCTAAGCTTTGCCTACCGTATCCACCTAGTCTGTCCTAGTTTGTGGATTATCACCTCTGCATTTCATATGTTTCTAGACTAAGTGA